AACTGGGATCACTTGGTAAGAAGCAAGTAAGATTCACTAGAATTCAAGACTGCTATGAAGTTTAATTTGGACATACTTTTATATTTTGATTATTAGGGTTTTTCCTTTGTGCAACTAGCTTGTAAAATCGGCTAAAGATCAAGTTACTTGTGAGTTTTAAAATTCTTCGCTATATTTTAGGAGATAATTAAATATCTTTTCTTGTAGAAATAACTTAACAAGAAAAATGTATTTTAATGAACTTCTTTTAATATATGTACAAAAAAGAGAATCATGGATCCAACAAAAATTCATTCAAGATGTTTTGAACTAGTAATTACAGGCGTGTTTCCTTCATAAGGTATTAAAACTTCACTAAACAAGGGATCAACTTATTTGTCGAAAAGAAAAACGTTTTTGCTGTTCGCATCGCAAACAGAAAAGTAATTTTAACTTTTAAAAAACTGAAAATTCGTTTTTATCACCAGTGTAGTTTTTCATGGGTTACAAAACTCATAAGATACAAAATCTTGAAGAATTCAGTCAGTACATTTGTTATACATAAATAGATTATAATTCACATGTCAAAGTAAAAACCATTTCTCAGAAATGTGGTAAAAACCCCTTAAGCTATGCCTTAAACTTATTATCTTAAAGTTAGCTTAGTAAAACTAAAACGACAAATTAAATTTTCTTTCTTGCACCAAAATAAAATATATTCGTCTATATAATGCACGTTTCTTTACAAGTAGATGAATAAAAAATATGTTTTTATCATGTAATACAGGGGCGCTTTTGTTGCACCGAAGAGCCCCTCTCACTGCGGGGGAGTAATACAACAAATAACAGACTGTAAGGTGTTTCCTCAAAATTGGTTTTTGATATATTTATATTTACATATATATTGTACATAGGAAAACTATTTATTTATTGTATATTAATATGAAAATAAATTCGAAATTTTATAGCTGATCAATTCTAACGCCCCCCCCCCTTTGAAGTCTTAAGAATGCCCTTGATGTAATCCTTCATATTTCCTGTGTTTTTTACGCAACTGTTTATATGATATTTCTAATTAATTTTATTATCCTAAATTAAATTGTCTGGTTAAAAGAACAGCTCATAAAATATTTTACCTCTATTACCACAATCATGTGGTTGATTAACGAAAAAGGGCTTATCTTTACTACTTTAATTAGTTTCAATTTTAATGCTATCAAATATCAAGTTAACCATTAATACTTATTTGAGAAATTTTGATATACCTTTTGTAATCTTTGATAACTTAAAATTTGCAGTGCTCGTTTTTCCCATCTACTCTACTCTCCTGTTGTCCAAGGGCCTGAAAGATATGTCCAAAGACCTTGGAGTTGAAATCCGGCCGTGGCCTATTGCACGTCACTTTGACGTACATGTTATCAAATGTGGAATATGTCAGAAGAGGTACAAGAAGCCAAAGGTACGATAAACATTTAATATACTTGAGTTTTGTTTACAAACATACTTAATCATACAATCTATGAACCTTAGAAATATACAAAAAGTAGTTATGCCACTAAATTAAACCTGGCCTGTGACCATGACATCTCCTTGACATCACAGTAATCACTAACTTCGTTTCCGGTTGCTCCATTATGGTGGCCTCCAGTGAGCATGGTCATTGTGGATAACGTCACGTCCGCCCACATGATGCAGCCATGATGACACTCTCAGTTGCCCTCGAGATGGCGATCTCCTATGTGTATATGAGTGAGTCGATCTTGGATAACGTCACATCCCTTTAATTGGCGCATTCATGAAGTCACTTTCAGTTGACAGCAAAGATGGCAACCTCTTATGGGCGCAGCCATCTTGGATGTGCCCTTGATGGTGGCACAGTTATCTTAAACACGATAACACTTTCCCATGGGCGTAGTCATTCTGAATGAATCCCCTGGTGGTGCTACAGGCATCTTAGACATACTGTCATTAAACTGTTTATGGAGGAGGTTCCTTTCAACTCATTCGATTTTGATACATAAGTCAGAGACGACACACACGCACACCTTCCATGACTACTGCAAGTAGCCTCCCTTAGTTGTGTAAATGTATCTTATAATCGTCTATTAATAATGTACCTATACGTTCCTGATTAATATTTAATAACCTACTAGACAACATTAACAATATTTGACTAAAAACTAAAACAATTTCTACAAAGTTCATCCTTATGACACATTATTTTTATTTAATACACAAAGTGCTGAGAAATTAAGGGCACATGTTATAGACTCATGATCGAACCGAAGCATGTGGCTTAAATGTGATTTAAAAAATATTAGTCTCAAGTAATTTAGAGCACATTACATGCTAATGATTCACAAGTGACTTTGGTCATTATTAAGTATTCATAAAATACTCTAAGTTATATCTTTTCGTTTTGTTTTTCTTTGTGACTTTATATTAAAAAGCCTCTTCCTATATATTAATCCTGAAAAACGTTGGGCCTACCTTTGAAAGGGTAAGAACTATTACAGTCTTCGTAAGCACAATAAAAGTTCATAACTAAACCATACATTATTACCACATTTTCTCCCCTTTATTTAATGATATTGTTCATTCGACCCTTCCCAATAATTACGTTACAACTGTCTCTTTCTTACTTGTTATTCATATGTAACATTGTTGTTATCTTAAAATCTTCATCAGTGTTATTTGTCTCAGTGAATTAGTGATAACACATTTATCCTTTCTAAGAAATGTAGCTTTAAACTTTTTTATAGAATAATTACAACTTCATTACCTACCTACCAGATGGAACAACGGACTACCATAACCACTAAAATGGTGTTTAATTATCGGTGTGTACTAATAATAAAAATGTTTAAGCTAATGTTGATTAGTTGAAAAAGAATAGAGAACGGAACCTCATGTCGTTTGTTTTTGTTGTTTTTTCCTACATGCAGAGATTAAGTGTTACAAATTAACAAAATACTTCTATATACTTGGTCCAGTTTCTAACTCTGTGTTTATGACTGGATCATTCTTCATTATCTGCATATCCTATGAGTGGTGTTCCGTGTAAACTGTGTATATATATAAACATACTTGTTGAGAAAGAAGTCAACTGAAAAGTCCTGATAAAACCTATATTGTTCACGAGCTACCAGTAGGTATTTATCTGAAATCCATTTATTATTGTTATTTGATATTTATATCGCCATGTAGACCTTTTTATTTAATATTTTCTTTAAAGACCTTTGAAGTATTTTTAATGTTGACGTCCGTAGTCTCGAATAACGTTTACTAAAATATACATTGTTCTCTCCTAATTTTGTACAATGGAAATTAATAATATATGTACATTCGCTCATGCGTGATATGTCTACATAAAATAAGAGTTATTTTTAATTTGGTTGAAATAGTTTAACTCTGTTCAAGTAGAAATTTGTTAAAATTAGTATTAAATCTAGCCCGAAAAACGAGACCATGTGTTGTACTTCTGGAAGAGATGCAATCGGTCCTATCAAGAGTTTATTCTCCCAAACTGAAATAATTTTAAAAAGTATAGGTGAAAGAGTACTGTAGCATCATACCGATGATCTATAATCTTGATTTTTGTTTCTATACGTCCGTTGAACAAGTCCAACATTAGGTGAGTTTATAATAAAATGTTACTTGATGCAGTGCGAATGTACGGAATATTTGGTCAGTAACAAAAGTCGTTTTTTTATTATCACTGAAATTTGTAACACAGAAAAACAAACTAAAGTTAGGTTATTTTAATAATTTTAGTTACTTTTCATATTCAATAGTTAGTTTTTACTTATTCACGAATTACTATAATCAAATATTTAAATATAAGATTTATTTTGCCCCTCAGTGGCACAGCGGTATATCTGCGGACTTACAACGCTATAAACCGGATTTCGATACCCGTGGTGGGCAGAGCACAGATAGCCCATTGTGGAGCTTTGTGCTTAAACTACAAAGAATAAATAGGTATTTATTAACTGATTTAAAAAAAAGGATCAAACTCTCCTGTACCTACCCACCTGACTTTTGAAGCTCTTCTTGCTTAAAATACATGGCCAGGTGGTTAGGACGCTCGACTCGCATTCTGCGGTCGCGGGTTCGCATCCCCGCCACCAACATGCTCGCCCTTTCAGCCTTGGGGCGTTATAAGTGTCGG